TGTTCTTCAGAAAAGCAGACAATATAAAGCAAAGCCTGGCGAGCTCCCCACGCTCTGGCTTGGGCAGTGCCAACGTTAGCCTTGAAATTGTCACTCCTTCATTAATCTGAAACTAGTTATTTTTCCAGAGCACACAGCACACGCTTCCGATCTCTTTGGGTTCGCTTCCAACAGCTTAAATCCCCCCGGACACGCCGGCTGGGGTCGGGGCAGGGGGGAGGCGTGGAGGGGCCGAGGCCGGTTCATCGCCTAAAGCGGGGCCGGCTGGGAAGCGCGCAGGGGGGCGGAGAGGGGCGCGGAGCAGATCCTGCGTGAAATCGGCCCTTTCACGGCGAGGCTGAGCGCGCTGCAGCGCGGCCACACGCCCCGAGGTTTTCCGAGTGGCACAGTGGGTGCGGGCTGTTTGTTATTCCGCTGTCATGCAGGACTCCCCGGCAGCTGCCCGGCGCACGGCGTTCCGCCACCGGCGGGGGCCCGGCGGAGCGGGGGCGCCTTCCCAAGGCCGGCTCCCACCCAGGACCCCTGGGCCCGGGCTGCCAACCTTGCCTGGGGTTTCTCGCCCAGACCGAGACCCAGTTCAGCCGACAGAGATGCGCAGAGGCTGCGGGGTGCGCTTCCTGCTATCGTACTTATCATGCTTTTCGAGCAGACACTAAAATAATGGCGGGGGGGAGGTGTTTTGGCCGAGTTTCTTTCCCGAAGGACTGCATGCGGTCATCTTTAGGCTCCGGATCCAGAATGGGAGTGCTCCCCGCCCTGCCCACGTCCTCCGAGCTGGTGTCAGGACGCTCGCCGGAGTCCCGGAGTGGTGGTAATAGGACTCGCCCCTTCCTGGCCATCTTATTCCCGTGGGAACCACAAAAACTCCCGAATGATCCTTTCTGGCCGTGGCCTCGTCCTGCTGCTGTGCCGTCGACGGAACCGTACAGGAGGGAAAAAGAGCCCCGGGCAGCATCTGAGCAGCGCCGCTGCCCATTCGGCTGCCCCTGCCCGCAAGGGCAGCACGAGGGAGGCGCTGGGGAGCCGCACCCGAGGCCGTGTCCCATTGGGGTTAGGTCAGCGGGAGGGGCGGGAGGAGGAAATCAGGATAAACTAGAGGTGAATGCAACAGGATTAGATAGACTGCCTTCCCTCTGCCCAGCTCCAACCGGAGGTACTGAGGAAGGAGAGCTTCCCCGCAGTTTCCTGGCCTGGATCCCTACACTGTGAACCCTCATCTCCGTGAGTGCTTTGGGCTTGACTGATGAGGCCCAGCCTGCCCCATATCCCCTAGAGAGGATGTGCAGCCAGACAGAACACTGAGCCCTTCAGTCTGGGAATCTCTGGAGTGTACTTGTCACTTTGTCCCAGCTATACCACATGGGGAAACATGGAGCTGACCGAAGGGCCTCCACTTCCCCAGGTCTGGGGTAGAGATGCTGGTCACAAACATTGTGACAAGAGCTCAGACAGTGAGGAAAGGCTTCAGCAGTGCCTATGGGGGCTTCAGGGCATGGTTGGAAAGAGCAGCCGAGAGAGCAAGGTGTCTTTGGCACTGTAAAGTTCCAGCAGCCCACAACCAACTCTGCCTGTGAGCTAGCACATCCGATCAGGACATGGGAGCAGGTTCAACCAGGGGAGCCACAACCAGAGGGTCTGACCTCAGCCATGCAGACCAAATCACAGAAACTCCTCAAGATGGATGTTTTCTTCTTCTGATTTGTTTGTTTTTATTATTATTTTTTATTGAAAAGAGTTAAATAGAATTACAGTTAGTAAATAAATATCTCAAGGGGAAAATTTTCTGGAGGGATGATAACCGAACAGGTTACAGGAGGTCAGTAGCAGGGTCACTCACACAAACATGAGTCACATCTCTTGTGCCAATGCTCATGCTTTAGTTGTGTGACCTTCCCCTTGCTGGAGCCCCTAGGTGACCCGGAGGGCCATTAGGAGCTGTTCCATACCTGAAATCCACCCAGGACACAGGCAACTCCTCTGCCACCATGTTATGCCAGGAATGGCTCCATCAGTAGCTGAACAGTGAGGGGAAAATATTGCACTTCAGACTTCCTGGGAGAAAAACAAATGATAGAAAGAAGAAGGGGAGAGGGGGCAGGGGGAGGGGGAAGGAAAACCCCAACACATTTTAATGAAAATTTGCCTAAATTTCAAAATGTTGAATGCTGGATGTGGACCATACAAAACATTTCCTGCAAACTACAGCATATTCAACTTCCAGTGGTGCTTCTGTCACACTGACTTGGCCTGCCAGGTTCAGGTCGACTTTGGTTCTATCCACCTTCTGAAATGTGTCAGGACAAACCACTGCATCAGTCCTCTTTTCCAAAGTTTTTTACATTAAACATATACTTTGAAATAAAATATTGTTGAAACATTTTTGAAATAAATATTATCTCAACTGTCCCAATGACAGTTTGTATCTGATGATGATGATGATGATCATAATATGCCACAACTACCTCCCAACCCTTGAAAGACACATGCAAGCATTGGTTGTTACAAGAACGACCAAATAGCTTCATTTTCCTTTTTTTTTTTTTAAGAGATTGCTAAACACTGCAGTGAAGAGAAATCTCACTGTTTACCTTCTAGAAACACAGGGAAATACCAAATTATTCACTGAGGTGCATATTTCTACAGAGGTACACTGAGAACATATATACTCTATCAAGTGTATCCTTGCAGTTTTAAAATATCTTTGAGTTTTGCAATCTTAGATTTCAGAGACTGTGATGCTTTTGCTCACCCAGCAAAGTTTTGCTTTCCTAGGCTGCTGCAGGCCTGTTGACTCCCTCCTGTTACAGTACTGGGATGACATTGCTGAGAGGGTGGGCAGTACTTTCTGTGGAACTAACGCCTCCTCCCAGAGCTTCAAGGTTGGAAAAGACCCACTATGATTATAGAAGCAAGTTAGACACGGGTGAACTGAAGCAGAGAATCAGCAGTTTTCAGATTCCACCTCAGCAAATTTTAGGGGAAGAGGGGACAACCCCCTCAGTCATACCCTCCATGAAGTCCCCCAGGAAGGAATCACAAGGACCTCAAAAGCCTTTGGCTCGTTGGTCTCCCCAGCCTGGCAAGTGAGAGGACTGCCACTGGGGTACCAATATCCCCAGCCACTGAGCTGGCATGCTTCTGGCCTCTGTAGTCAGCTCAGGCAGTGAAATAGCAGTGGTATGAATCAGTGAGATTCTGTATTTGTTTTTCAAGTCCAGGCTAGAAACATCAGTCCTGCCTTTCCCTTCCTGTTAGATGTGTATGTGCTGACTCTGCCTCTGCCTCAAGCCCTGAAGTTGGTCCAGGCTGTGGGGCAGTGCCCATACCAGGCTCTCTCCATCCTGCCCCAGCCCTGCCCATGCATCTGGCCTCTCCTCCAAGACAAGCCAGCAGTGCAAGTGTCCCTGTGCTGCGCTGCCTCCCTCTCTCTTCAGCAGCCAGGGTGATTGCAGGCAAGTCAAGGTGGAGACTGAAGCTCCGAAGTTACGGATAAAACACGATAAATGTAGGGATCGTTTCAGAGGTTGAAGTCAAAAGTGTATATTGGATTAGTGGAAAATCCATCCAAGGAAAAGGTGAGAGAAATAACCATGTGCAAAAGGCATTTCTGATTTGCTTATATTGCTTGCTGTATATAGGCTTGCTGTCTGAGGAACTAGAAAAAAAAAAACTGTAAAGGCGGTCATTTGGGACTGACTAGTTCCAGGTCCATCCCACTCTCATGAGCCACCTGTAACTCTCCTGCAAGGAGCTCAGGATGAGCTGCCCAAGGCAGAGGCAGGACGGGACCCGTGGCTGAGCGCTGCCCGACGCAGATTGCGGAGAACTTCAATCGTGCCTCAGCCTAACGCGTTTGCACTCAGATCTTCCCCCTTAAGCCTGGTCAGGGCGCCTAATGAAATCAACACCGAAAAGAACTAACGCTGTTCCGGTGCCTGAGGGGAAAATCAAACCCTGATCTCTGCTTAACATCGACCCGTAAAATAACTTAAGCGGAGTTTCAGCCTGGTGAAGGGTCGACGTGTGCAGCCAGCCCCCTCGGTGAGGGAAGAGCCGGAGCTGCCAGGCTGGCGGGGCGGGGGACCGTGTGCGGGATCCCGGCACACCGCCCTTCTCCCGGCCCCGTGCCGCGATCGGCGGCCCTGCCAGCGGCAGCCGCTTGTCCCCAGCGCGGTGCCTTAGGGCCAGCAGACGGGAGAAAGCTGTCAGTCGCCAGGAGGGCGTGCCCTGGCTCGGCTGGGGAAGGAGCACAAGGCTGCTGGACTCAGAGGACCGGCTGTATTTGCATTCCGGCCGGAGCGGAGTCCCCCCCCTTCTCCGCCCCCCAGCCGTCCCGGGTCACAGGGGAACAGAAAACATGTTCGTGTTAGTAGCCGATGGCTTTTATTTTCACTCTTTACGCAAATCGGACACATATACAGCGATGCTTTCACCGTAGGAAGGACAAGGACTGCAAAGGAAAGCACCTTGCCCAGCCAGTGCACCTTCGCTGCTGCGACTGGGCTAACACCTCAGGAGAGGAAGGGGAAGTCGGGGGGGTAAGAGGAAGAAAGTTAAATTCTCGTCTGATTTCATTTATTTAAATAAATATAAATATAATTTTTATATAAAACTATTCACAGACAAACAGCCGTCCCAAACCCAAACGGGCGATCATTATGTCTTTTCTTATTTTTGTTAAGAAGTCCGTCCAGTAGGTTCTTTACAGGTTTTAATTTGCTTTTCAGGTTAGTTTTTTGGTTTTTTATCTCTCGCCTTTCGGCTTCAAATGCGTTTCTTTTTTTTCTTTAAATTGCCTATGGGGATACAGAGGAAGACACCCTGGGCTATGAGAGCCTTGTCCCATGTTACATTTTTGAAAGAGCAGGTGCTCTCTCCTGGGGCTACCTAAATAACGTTTAGGTTGACCTCCCACGACTAAAACGTTTGCATTCCGAAAAAAAAAAAAAAAAAAAAAATATATATATATATATATATATATATATATACACTTCTATTTCTATTACTGCGAATGGATGACAATGAAACCTCCGCGGCGGCGAGGGCCAGCCCGCTGCAGGTTAGCGGGCTGCCGTCCGTGGGGAGCGGTGCCAGGTAAGTCGCCGTGCCACCACCTCGCTCCGGGCTGGGACCCGGCGGCAGGAGCGGAGCACCGAGCCGGGCTCATAACGGGGAGATCTCTTTATCCTCGGTAGCCGATGAGGGGGATAGAGACTCTTCATCCTCTGACCGGGGGTAATGCCCCTGGCTGGTGCTGCACTTGCAGCCCCCGTGCGTGTTTCGCTGGGTGCCTTTGCCTTCTTTCTTGTGCTTCACCCTCCTGTTTTGGAACCAGATTTTCACTTGCTTCTCAGACAGGTTCAGGTACGTGGCTATCTCGATCCTCCGCAGCCGGGACAGGTACATGTTGGAGGAAAATTCCCTCTCCAGCTCCAAGAGCTGGGTGCTAGTAAAAGCAGTCCTCATCCGTTTCCCATTTTGAATTTGGCTGGATTCGGACCCTCCTGGACGGGAGAGAAATGCGAACTTCAGCGGGACAGGGAAGAGCGGGAGAGAGAGGCGAGACAGACAGACAGACAGAGAGAAGACATTCATTCCCCAGTAGCTTTCCGACCCGGGACAGCCGCTCTCCCTTGGCGACACCCCTTCTCCCCCTGCCCCCCTTCCCCGGCGGCCGCAGCGTTCGTACCCATGCCGAGGCAGTGAAACCTCCGGGGGTCGCTGACGCTGTAGGTGGTGGCGGCGCAGGCAGGTGGGTGATGCGCAGGGTGTCCCAGGGCGGCGGCGGCGGCGGGCACCGCGGCGGCGGGCGGCGGGTGCTGCGGCGGGTGGTGAGCGTGGCTGCTCCGCGGGCAGCACTGGGCCTCGCCTGCGGCCGCGGGGAACTGGCTCTTGAGCAGGGGGATGGCCCCGCCGGCGCCGCCGCCGCGGGAGGAGTGCAGGTGCGAGGTGACGCAGAGCGGGCAGACGCAGAAGGCGCCGCTCTTTCGGGACGGGCAGCCCGGGCCCGACACCGACATGACGAGGGGGGAAGGCATGCCGAGAGGGATGAAGAAGTCCTGGCCGTGATGATGCTCAGGAAGGGACGGAGCCGGCCTCGAGGAGTCTTTGATGATTAAGGAGTCGACATAGAAGGAGCGTGACATTGCGGAGGGCTGCGAGGCCGGGGGCGGCTCTCCCAAAGTCGGGTTTTCCTGCTCGGCCAAGTTGCCACTGAAGTCCTGGCGAGTCGAGAAGGTGCTTATGTTTGAGAGCTGAACAAAAGGGTCCCTGGAGAGGGCCGGTCTTAAAGTCCCCCCGCCTGGATCCCCTGCGCCGGGGTTTTATATCAAGTATTTAAACACGTGATGGCTGAAAGCCTCGCAGATCTAAATCTCCCCGGCTTCCCAGGCCGGCAGGAGAAGCTGCCGGGGGGGACCAAAGCGGGGTAGGGGAGGGGGGCAAAGTGTGCGTGCTTGCTCGTTGCCCGATGACTTCACTCCTTTGCCTCCGCCTCAAATAAATTATAGGAGCAGAGAAAGCGGGGAGGGGGCGGCTGCTCCGCGGCCCCGTCACACGTCGCGCTCGCACGCATGTCTCTCTGTCAACACACCCGGGATGCTGGGGATAAAATTAATCGGAAGGAATTTCTGCTCGGGGGTTTTCCCCAAGGACAACGCTCCATTCCCTCGCCGTGAGGGAAAGAGAGGTGAGAGCAGGTAATGCCCTGAAACACGCGGTTCAACTCCGCCCCCCTGACCCCCAGTAAAAGAACATCCAAAGGGCCGTGGATCCCACAGAGGCCTGGGGCCAACACCTTTCCCCAGTCCGGCCCACTCCCTGCACTCAGGACTCCTTCAGGAGGCTCTTTCTGCATCAGAGGAGCCAGGTACACAAGCAGCCATGGATATAAGGTTAGGGATGGAGCGCGTTTGTGCGTCTGTGCATACGTACGCGCGTAGAGTGGGTAGAGTGGCTTTTCTTTTCTCCTCTCCCTTTTCACTTCAAAAGAGTCTTACCAAATTGGCAATTACTGCAACGGACAAAGCCTTCAAATATCTGGACACTTCTCAGCCAAACGGTATCAAAACGGAAAACTTCCAAGCGAACTTCCCCGGCCTCTCCAGGACCGCAGTGCGCAGCGCTAATGAAAAGCGAACATGTCAGGGAGGGATTCTTTGATCTCCACCAAGTTTGCTGAAGCAATCATTCAAACTAAAATTGGATAAACAGCTAAATACGGTCGGTGGCTCGGAAGCATTTCAGAATGCATTACAAAGCCAAGGTATTCGCAGCATATTACGCGATTTTCCAATGACCTGTTTTATGGGAGTTTAAGAAGAGACTTATCGTTAATAGAAGGACTGTCGCGTGCTTGTTTAGCAGATGCGAAGCGGCGTTTAAAACAGAGTGCGGATCCCATCCCACTTGACACGGGAAAGGGAAGTGACAATTGTGCTCTAAAGCAGAAAACACAGACAACGCCTGATTGCCGGAGGCTAACCAGAAACTCGGGAGCCCAGCAATAGCCGAAACGTGTTTAGAAGCGTTAGTGCAAGGGCCGGGCCGCGGACATCCTACCATCCTTCCCGCACACCCAGTCTCCCGCTGTTAAACCCAGCAAAATAAAACCGCCTTCTGAAGGAGCCGGCATTTCCTCGCCCGGTAACTCGAGCCTTGCTAAGCGAAGGGCCCGGTCTCGACCGACTGTGCTGTCCCGTCCTCATCCTCATCCCTGTCTCCATCTCCATCCCAATCCCCATCCCCATCCTGCCGCGGGCAGTGCCACTGTGCAGGGACCGGCTTTCCCCTAGCCCTGCTCCCCTTTTCCCCCCGCACCTCCCCGGGCAGGCACCATGCAACAGCTTTTTTAGGGACACCCTGCGCTCGGTGATCTGAGGATTTATGGATAGCAATTAAAGTTTTATGAATTGCAGCTGAGGTCTGTTATGTGGCTATTTGAATGTGATTAGAATTCAATTAGAAAGTGTTTACCGGCCGGCGGGGGCTCCTGAGTGTAAACAGACAGCTATTCCAGCAATGCGCTAATCCCGCGTCTTGTGACAACAATTAGGGGCTCGCGGGGTTTAGGCGGGTCGGCTCCAACCTCACCTACTTTTCCCCAAACTGCTGCCCAGGACTCAGGCGAGGCCCCGCGGCCGCCAGGCCCTGGAGCCCCAGCGACAGCAGCCCCGCGGAGCTCCGGGGTCCGGGTCCGCGGGGACCCCCGGGGCTCTGCCTCCTGAGCTCCCGTGGGGCCCGTGAGATTCTAGTCACGGTCACCGTGCACAAGCATGGCATTTTTTGGTTCGGCTCTTCCCGTTTAAAGCAAAGTATATCTGGAGAAGATTTGAATTGATATCTGCATTTTATTTTAATTTTTTTAATTAATTTTTTTGTTTTCCTTTAGGAGAGACTATTCTGGAAAATGAAAATATAATAGTACAACCCCAAACCTCGGTGGAAAAAGCTGTCTGCAGTGATGGAGTGGATCTGGGGAGGGGGCTGTCGTAAGGGAAGGCAGACAGAGAAAGAGTCGGGATCAAAATTGCAATTTGTAATTGTTATAATAAACTGAACGCAGTGATAAAAGGGAGGGGAAGAGAGAGATCACTAGGAAAAACCACCCCTGAAAGCCAGAGCAAGAAAAGAAGTCATTTGAAAGCAAAGACATCCCAAACCAGGCGGAATGATGCAAGGCGTGCGCCCACATCACATCGGCCTCGTTACAATTTTATTTTTCAATAATTCTGTCCGATAAAATTTCATTGTCCATTAAGTAATCCCCGAAATGAGAGCTCTTATGAGCCTATAATGAGCTCTAATTGCTACGACTGGGAGAGCCACGTGGAAGGATTTAGAAGGTATTAAGCAGTTGGGTACAGAGCACAGGCTGTTACCTAGCCATTACTTTCATAATTCAAGGAGAAAATTAGTCCTTTTAAGGGAAAATCCTTTGATTCCCTTCATTCTGCTCGGGGTGACAGAGTATAGCTTTGTCTGCCTTTAGTTCAAGACAGTGTAACAAATGAGAATGTAACGAAATTGCCCCCTTTTGAAAGTGGAGCAGTTCAAAAAGAACATCAGAGCCGCTCCCCTGGTCCGCCGAGCGCAGGACTGGGTGCTGGTCCCTCTTTTCTTCCAGATGTCTCTAACACCTTTATGTAGAAGAGATTCACGGCTTAAATGACAAAAGCAACTCTTTCCCTTCCCTCCCCCAACCCCGGCAGAAGAAAAAGCCATGCACGCCCGGAGAAAGTGCCGGCTTTCAGCCGCGCATCTCCGCGGAGTTCACGGGAGGAGCTGCTTCAGCGGAAAGTGCCGCAGCTCGGGGACATGTTTCAAACTGAAAAACAGAACCAAATTAAAAAAAAAAAAAAAAAGAAAAAAAGAAACCAAAAGAAAACAAAAAAAACCAAAAACCCGAAAAACCAGGAAAAAAAAAAAAACCCAAAAACCCCCAAACCAAACCAAACCAAACCACCCAAAACCTAAAAAAAAAAAAAAAAGAAAGAAAAAGAAAAAAAAACACCAAAAAACCCACCCAAAACAACACCTGCAGAGCAGCCATGGCCGCAAACATCACACCGGAGTGACATGCGGTGGCACTAGGCAGGCTGCACCCCGGGCTGGGGCAGTTCCCGTCCGGGAAAGTCCCGCTCAAAATAAAGCCTTGCGTGGGTAAGAGAGGGGCCGCGGGCTCCTGCGCTATAATCGCATTTATTCACTACACTAGCATTGATTTCCTATTAGTTTCCAAAGTGATCGGTAAATCCGAGGCTGGCCTTTCTGAAGTGAACGCAATCTAAAGACAGGACTTGCCCCCAGCTCCCATTAAGGCGGTCATTATAAAAGCGTGAACAAGTCTATTAATGTTTTATTGAAAGCGCATCGTTAACTTGTATCCATCCTTTTCTGAAAGTGGCATTGTGATATTGCTGTCTGTGGCACATCTTACCCAATATAGCCCGAGATTTCTCCATTATCTGTAACCAAGCAACACTTTCTGAATACCAAAAATTGAAAAGAACCGCTTAGTCTTCAAGAAAGTCCTCAATAATAGTGGAAAAGAACAAAGATCCAGGAGACAACAAAATGCCACAGGGGTGACTTTTCATGAGCAATTATCTCTCATTAATCAGAAGAACAGCTGCAATATTAATTTTCTCTCTTTCTTCCTCTCTTTTCACAGTCCCCAACATTTGAATAATCATAAATTTTGATTTCATGGAGCAGCTACATTGCCAGCGACTTCCAGACACAAGCTACCTAGGCAGGGCGCACGCTTTGCACATAGCTCTTATTTTAAGGCTGCCAAAGAATAAACTGAAGAAAAGAAAAGACGAAAAGTCTGGATTGCTTTCCCCCCTCCCTTTGCCTCAGAGCACGGATTAAACCAGCAGCCCCTTCCCTCCACCCCTGCCGCTTTCACTCATGGAAAGTAACAGGCGAAAGTACCGAGTGTCTGCGCCAGCTTCAAGCGTGGGAGTTTCTACAACCTCGCTGTCCATTTAACTTCCAAACATGAAGCCAAGCGTTGTAGATCTGTCCAAAGAGACAATCTTTGGGCGTAACACGCATTGTGAGACATCAAAAGGCCTTGGCGTTATGCGCACTGAGAAGCGTATTCAGCACGAAGGGTGCAATGCCTCTCTTTTCAGGGGCTCAGCCGCGGATTGTTTAACAAGTGACGTCGCCGCGGCAAGAAAACCGCGCTCTTCCAAAGATAAGGATGTAACATTAAATCTCGCTTTTTTGGATTTCAAAGAATCTCATTAAGGGCAGAGGCCGGAGGCAGCCAAGCCGGGAACGGGAACCGTGCCCCGGGGAAGTGAGCGCTCAGTGCCGCCTGCACTCGCTGCCTGGGGGAACAGGTCAGAGTCGAGGCCGAGATCCCACCACTCCTCGACTCTGCCCATCTTCGGGCATCCGCCTTTCCCTCCTCGGCCCCACAGAGCAGGGGCGCCAAGGAGAGGAAAGGCAGCTTCTCACCTTTCCCCGCAGATGCCGATCCCTGGTGTCCTTCCCTTCCGTGAGAGATTTCCTTTGCCTCCATCCCCGGTCATAAATTACCCCACCTAGAACTTGGCACGGCAACCCCCTTCCCCCTCCAGGACATGGGGCCATTTCCGAGGGAATGAAGGGGCACTCCTGCCCTCAGGAAGGACAGGCCCCCGGCTGCCCTGCCTGGGGCTGCCGAGCCCCTCTTGCCCCAGTGCCCTCTCGCCCCTCGTGGAGTGGGGGTGGTGGTGGATGGCGGCACACGGAGCTCCAGCAGGAGTGGCCACCTCTCTCTAGGAAGAAACCTGCTACACCTTTCAACCACTTCCAGCCTTTGGAGAGATGATGCTATTTCATGTTGGTGCTGTTCACAAAGTTACTCATTCCCACGATTAGCAGTAAATTCCTACATGAGTCCTCCAGGGTGATTATGATCCCTTGTTTTTGAATGAGTGTTTCCAAAGAGCTCCAGCAGCAGCCTTCATCTACTCTTTAGTGCCTTTTGCTTTTACCTGCAGGCC